TTCTAGGAAGTAAGTTCCCTCAATCATGGAGTATGGACATAATTTAATTTAGAGAGATTCTATCAAGATGTCCTTCAAAGAATTTTACCACTTTTCATTTATATGAAAATGCCCATTTCCCATTAAATGTTTTAAAGAAAGGCCAAAAGTCATGCCCTATCTTAATATGTATTTATTTATTAGTGTCTTTGGGCATTTTTTTATTCATCACTCACCTATATTTATAATTCTTAGAGCATTTTTTTCTATTGTATTTGTTTTCATATCAATTGTAGCAGCTCATAACCTTTATCTGATATAAAATTTGGGAAATGCTTCTCTAAATCTGTCTTTCATTCTTTAATTATGAATCCTTTTATTTCACAGAAGTTTGGTTTTTGCTTGTTTGTTTTTATTTTTTACCTTACGAACATTTTTACAATTGTAAACTTCTTAGCAAGACCTTCTTACATGGTGTTGCAAATTCCGATCTCTTGTATTTTCATCTAATATTTTAGTGTTTTAAGTTAAACTCTCTACTGTATCTCAAGTGTATTTGTGTATATAGTTTGAAATAGGGATTTAGCTTCTTTTTTTTACCCCTAGAAACATGCCATATTAACTTTCCCATAAAAACAGTCAGATTTTTCTTTACTCCCCTTTTTACCTACTTCTAGTTTTCAATTTTTATTTCCATCTTATTTTTCTGAATATCTGTATACAATAAGAACATATATATATGCTTTGGGGAAAAGTTGAGATATGAATGTAATTTCTAAAATAAACTGATAAATTCACCACCTTCTATACATTTGGTACCATGCCATGTACTGTTGGCAACGCAGAAAAATAAAAAAATCATACAATATATCGAAGAAATGAGAGATTGCAGCATAACAAATAGGAAACATGAATTTCTATGCATGATTAGAAGAAAAGATCAGTGAGAAAATAAAATGCACTGTACTGTTTAATCCACTAATTGTGACATATGTGGGAAAATATCAAAAGCCAGTGATTCCTAATTGATATTCTTTTTATTTTTTCAGTGGAATCATATCTGATCTTTTTCCTGGAGTCCATATTCCAGAACATGATTATGGTATATTACAGTCAACAATTATAAATGTCATGAATGGACGAAATCTTCAGCCTGAAATGAGTATGGTTAAAAAAGTGATACAATTCTATGAAACTATGCTCGTAAGGCATGGTGTTATGTTAGTGGGGCCAACGGGAGGTGGGAAGACCACAGTTTACCAAATACTAGCAGAAACTTTAGGGGATTTGAGAAAACTTGGTGTAGACAAACCTTTTTACCAACCAGTTAAAACATTTGTTCTTAATCCTAAATCAATTACAATGGGAGAATTATATGGGGAAATTAACAACTTAACTTTGGAGTGGAAAGATGGTTTGATGGCATTGAGTGTCCGAGCAGCAGTGAATGATACCTCAGAAGACCATAAATGGATCATCAGTGATGGACCAGTGGATGCCCTTTGGATTGAAAACATGAATACAGTGTTAGATGATAACAAGATGCTTTGTCTGGCTAACAGTGAGAGGATTAAACTCACACCTCAAATCCACATGCTTTTTGAGGTAAATGTAATGCTGTATTGTGAAGTGAAAGTGTGTTAGATTGGCATACCATCATTAATTTTTTTTCACACTGATATCTATTTATTATTTAGAATGCCTACCATGGTTTTGTGATAACATACTAAATAATTACTAAAATTGTCCTTTTGTAGTAGATTACTTGTCCTGACACCCAAAAATCTCTCAAATACTCCTGTTTCTTAACGAAAAGGAAATAAAATAAATCCTGGCTTCCCCAGCATTTCTTTTTCTAGTTAATATATTTATTGGTGATTTTAAATGATTTAAAATGCTTTAAAAATGTTATGCTTGGGCCTCCTCTGGTGGCGCAGCGGTTGAGCACTGGGCTGCGAAGCTGCGCGCAGCCTCAGCAGCGCCGGTTCGATCCCCAGCCACGGGGCGAGGGTCCCACATGGCGCGCAGACCTCTCCTGCCGCCCACTGCTCCCCTTAGCAGTGTATTTCATCAGTCTGCCTGTTCTGCTCCCTGCTCTGGCTCTGGTGAATTCTCTCACCCTCCCGCGCTTCTGACTGTACCCAGTGCTTGTATGAATAAATAAATAAATCTTAAAAAAAAAAAAAAATAAAAATGTTATGCTTAATACAAGTAAATTACCCCTTTGTGGTATGAATATTTGATGAAGGGACTGCAAGAGGAATATGGGTCAAATACAACTACAAAACATTATGGAAGATACTGTCCCTGCTCTATTCATTTATCAAACATTGAATGCCTACTGTGTACTAGGTATTAGGCTATGTGTTTGGCTACAAGAATGAAAAAAGAAAAAGAGGGAAATTTACCTATCCCCTCTCATAAAGACTTCAGGGGGTTTTTTCAGCTTGTGCCACATTTAAATTTCCTTCCACAGTTCTGATTACTTAAAGTTCTCCCACTTTCTTCCACATAGTATTTCAGTGTTAACTTAAATTTTAAATGTGTAATTCACAAACATTGGAGTTATAAGAATAAAAAGTAACATATTAGCTGTTTCCTGTTCAACTTTTTTAAATTTTAGGTGCAAGATCTAAAGGTTGCCTCCCCTGCAACAGTCAGTCGGTGTGGAATGGTGTTTGTGGATCCTGAAGAACTGAAATGGATGCCTTATGTTAAAACTTGGATGAATAGTATTTCTAACAAAGTAAGTGCAACCAGATACCTAATCCTCAACATCTCCATCAGTCAGGGTGCACACTCACCCTGAGTGCCCAAACAGTAATTGGTTAAGGCTTCGCTGTGCTTGATTGAGGGAATTTTAGGAAACTAGTCTTTTCTCTAAGAATTCTTGGAATCCTCCAGGAATGTTTATATGTGCCCAGAATCTGTCATTATTTGCCTTCCAGCCTGCCTAGTCACTCTAGTTCCTTCCTCCTCTCTGTCATCTCCCACATGAGTACAAACTCAAACTACTTCCTTGAGTCCCCCCAAAAACAGCTAAAATAGGCTAGATATTTTTTAAAGGAGCTTAAAAAGGGCTCAGGATAATAAGAAATTATCACAATATAAGAAAATAACGTTTAAATGCAGGCACTGTCATTATTTTTAGATTTCAGGAGCCCCTAACACTTCTGAGAGCCAGAGAGAAAAGAAAATTACTTTACCTTCCACCCAATCTTAGGCCTCTGACCCAAGATGTGTTCTAACCATCCAACCCAAAGTGAAGGAAAGCTTTTACATCATTATTAAGAATAACACAGTTCTGTTTCTTCTGTGCCCTCTTCATTCCAAAATAAGACTTCTCTTTAACAAGTGATCTTTTGAAGTGCTTCATCCATACTCATTCCTATTCCAAAAAAACCGTCATCTTTCTGTGTCCCTCTCCAAAGATGAATCAGAAAGCCATAATTTTCCTCGTTATTAACCGCCAACATTTTAAGAATTTTATGGTCAAATTTCAAAGTACCTTACTAAAGAAAGTAATGCTCAGAATTGAGAATTTATCTATCATGAACTGCTTCACAAATTCACTTTTTTAAAAAATAATAGACTTAATATTTAGAGTAGTTTTAGGTTTACAGAAAAATTTAACAGATAGGACAGAGCATTATCAAATAATATCTATCCTCAGTGATTTTTCTCTATTATTAACATTTTGTATTTGCATTGTATATTTGTTAAAGCTGATGTACCAATATTGACATATTATTATTAACTAGAGTCTATAGTTTACATTAGAATTCACTCTTTGTATTGAACAATCCTCTGGCTTTTGACAAATGCATATTAACACACCCTGATATTACCATACAAGATAGTTATACTGCATTAAAAGTCTGGGCTTTACCTGTTAATCCAGCCAGACCCGCTCCCAACCACTGACAAACACTGATCTTTCTACTGTCTTCATAGTTTTGCCATTTCCAGAATGTCATCCAGTAGACATTGTACAAAATATAGTTTTTTCAGGTTGGCTTTTTCCACTTAGTAGTACACATTTAAGCTTCTGTCATGTCTTTCTGCGGCTTGATAGCTCTTTTAGGGGGCACTAATTTACCAAGCTTTTCCATTCTCCCACTGATATAGCTCTCAATTGCTTCCAATTTGGGGCAGTTATAAGCAAAATCTCTATGAATATCCATGTGCATGCTTTTGTCTGAACATAAGTTTTCTTTTTTTTTTAATTAAAATAAGTGAATTTTTTTTCTTTTTTTTTTGAACATAAGTTTTAAACTCATTGGATAAATACCCCAAATGCAATTGTTGGATTATATGGTAAATGCTATGTTTAACTTAGTAAGAAACTGTTAGTCTGTCTTCCAAAGTGGCCATCCTATTTTGTACTCCCACCAACAATAAATGAGAGTTCTTGTTGCTTCACATCTTTACCAACATTTTTTGTTTTTGGTGTTTTAGATTTTAGCCATTCTAGTAAGTATATAGAGGTATCTCATTTTTTAATGTCCATGTGATATGGAGTGTCTTCTCATATGCTTGTTTGCCATCTGTAGAGCTTCTTCGGGGAAGTGCCTGTTCAAATCTTTTGCCCACATTTTATTAGGTTGTTTGTTATTATTGAATTTTAAGAGTTCTTAATATATTTTGGACATAAGTTCTTTTTTTCACTTTATTAAAATACTGAGTTTATTTCACATGTATATTTTTGTCTCCCCACCATTTCCATTTGTCAGGCCACCACTACTACTATGTCCTATTATAACATTTCATACATACTTAAAATCAAGTAAAGGGTGGAGTTCCATCTTTAAAAACTAAACAGGCATTTTGGACAGCACATTCTTGGCAATGAAACCTGGACCACATTTATCAGACACGGTAGGGAAAGTTCTCACTCTGCATTATAAAAAGGACAGCCAGATATCAACTGTTACAGAAATAAAATAAGATGGAAAATTTTAACACACTGAACTATTTTCTTAAAGAGATTTCCTCTACCGCCAGAGATCTTGAATAGCCTCCTAATAAGTCATCCGGAAGCAATTCTTCACATAATTGATGAACTTGGCTTCCACGTTGAGAAGAGAACCACCTTTTTCTATACTTGCTTGCATTTTTGCTTTAATGTCTTCTACAGAACTAGGTCCTTTTGGTGTTTTAGGAGTTTTTTCCTGTTCTTTGAAAGATTCTTGGCCTTTTGATCTTGATGTTGATGGTTTTCAGTCTTTTCCATTCTGGTTTGACTTTTGTGCATTTTTGGCTGGAGTATTCGTATAGATTTCTTTACAGGTAATTTTTCTTCAGCTTCTTCATCATCAAAATCATCATCATTGTCATCGTCGTCATCATCGTTGTCATCATCCTCATCTTCATCAGCAGCAAGTTTTACTTTTTTCTGTGGAAACTTGCTACCATTTCCAGGTGTTGAACGCTTCCCAGATATACTCAGGAGTTTCACATCCTTCTCCTCTTCATCTTCTGATTCTGCATCTTCCTCCACAGCTACTAAGTGCTGTCCACTAATATGCACAGGCCCTGAACCACACTTCAACTGTAAGACCACAGGTAGAATGACTTCAAAGCCCCCAAGGGAAACCGTTGCCTCTACAGACATTTTCAAAGTTGCAAGTGTTATTTTAATAGGACTGCCTTCATAATTTATGGCTTCTGCTTCAACAATGTGTAGTTCATCCTTTGCACCAGCCCCTAAACTGACCGTTCTTAAAGATAACTGGTGCTCATTTTTATCATTATCCACTTTGAAGTGACAATCTTTGTCGGCCCTTAGTTCACAACTGAAAAGATAGTTCTGGAGCCTCAGAGGGCTCATGTCCATGTCCATTGAATCTTCCATGGGGTGGTGACATGGACTCAGGTGGGAGAGAAGGCAGACAGAGATAAATGACTACTGTTCCGAGGAACAGCACGCAGGACGGAATCACACCAGGTGAACATAAGTTCTTTATCAAATACTTGTTCTGCAGATTTTTTTCCAGCATGACTAGTTTTTTCATTCTTAACAATAACTTTCACAGAGTACAAGTTTTCCATTTAGAGAAGCCAAAGTTAATAGGTTTTCTTTCATGGATTGTGCTTTTGTAGTATATCTAGAAACACATTCCAAACCTAAGGTCACCTACATGGTCTGCTACTAACAAGTTTTATACCTGTGTGTATATAAACTATGATTCATTGTGAGTTAATTTCTGTCGAAGGTGTAAGATCAATGTCTAGATTCTTTCTTTGTATGTAGATGTCCTGTTGTTCCAGCAACACTTGTAGAAGACACTATTCCTGCTCCGTTGGATTGCCTTTGTTTATGTATTTTGTTTACATATATGTTTACATATTGTACTTTGTTCCTTTGTATCAATTAACTATATTTTCCACGGACCAGTTAACAATATGGGTCTATATCTGGCTTTGTACTCTTTTCTATTGACCTACTTGTCTGTTCTTTGCCAATACCACATGGTCTTGAATTCTATAGCTTTATAGTAAGTCTTGAAACCTGATAGTTCTCCAACTCTGTTCTTCCATATTGTGTAATTATTTTCAGTCTTCACATCTCCATAAATACACATGCTTCACTCACCTCTGTCAATGATCTATCCCCTTCTTTTCTCTGTGTGCTCCTCCTTCCCCCCATTCTCTCTAGTAACCAGTAACTGGTTGGGAATTATTTTTGCTGTGCTGTGCCAATATGTGTTCTTTGATTATTTATATTCCATGAGTAAAGTGAAATCATCTGGTATCTGTCTTCCGAGTGCATGAGTGTTCCCTTTTCTCCACATCTTCATCAATATTTGTTGTTTCCATTCTTTTTGACACGTTTCTGGACTTCTCACATTTCAGTTCCTCTCACATTTCTGTTCCTCTCCTGGTTTTTCCATCTTGTATTCAGATATTCCTTGCCTCCTAGGCATGTGTATTGCCTTATTTGCATTTGGGGGACTGGGGTGCTGTGGGCTTAGTTTTGTTTATCTTCTTTGTTTACACTGGTAGCAGGTGGGGAAGTGAATAAAAGCTGGGGCTCAAAGACTTACTCTCTGACCTCATGAAGAGGAGGGCAGCTCCAAACCAGTAGAAAACTCTGCCACTTCTCCTCTCTCTATAGCAAACTCTGTTTGGTGCTTCAGGGATCCTAAATTCCATTCCTACTTTCTACTGCACCTCTCTGTGGTATGAGTAAGAAATGTTCACTAAGCTCAAATCACTTAGCAACGGGTCACAGGAGAAATACACCACATAGGAGCCGTCAGAGGTTGTTGTATACTTGCTGTGTGGGGTGGGGGCGGGGGGCGGGGGAACTTGGCACAGGCTGTCCTAATTTGCTCAATAATGGCCTCTGCTGCCAGGTACAGGCTTGGGCTTCTAAGTGCTGCAGATTGTTCACTTGTCTTTGCAGTGAGACTTCACCCTCTCCACCACTAGCCATAAATAAACAAATCTTTAACAAAATAAAATAAAATAAAAAATAAAAGAATGTTGAATAGAAGTGGTGAGAAGGGCTGCATTCTTCTTAGAAATCTTTGGGAATTATTTCTTTTATATAAGTAGAATTTTAAAGTGTCTCTTTATGTTTTCTTTTTAAAAAAAAAAAAAAGGTTTTTTTATTTTTTTAAACAATATTGGCTTCCCCCCACCCCCTCAGGTTGAGTCCCCATAGAATTTCCTTCCCCAAGGCACCTGTGTGCCATCACCACAGTCCCCTGTGCTCCTCCCTCCCTCCCTCTCCTCTCTCTCCCTCCTTCTCTCCTGCAGTATGTCTCTGGTTTATAATTGTCAGGTTTTGCTTTGTTGTGTTTTGAACTGTTATTATTTTTTTTACACTGATGTCTTATTTGGTTCCCCTATATTTCTGTTATAAGTGAAACCATCTGACAGTTTTCTTTTTCCTTCTAGCTTATTTCACTGAGCATAATTCCTTCTAGCTCGTTTTGTTTGTTTTTTTTTCATTGTTCTTAATTATGAAAGATATTGTAAGCTTAGAGACTGCGTGACATATATGTTGACTGTTTAACAAGTGGCTATAAAATAAATCAATGTACACTACCATTACCAGATTATGACATGTAGTTTATTTTCAGCTACCAGAATCTCTCCCATGTGTTCCTTCCAGTCATAGGGTTTTTTTTTCTTGATTTCTTTCATATTTTGTTTGAAAGATGTTTATAACCTTTAGTCCAAAAGTCAAATTATATTGCAATAATGACATTTGTACCAAACTGGTTCTAAATTTAATCAAATATTTCATCTGGTCTTTCTAAACAGTTATTTACTTATTTCATTTTCAGCTGAATGAGGAAACTCAAGAATATATATTGAAACTTTTCCAACGTTATGTTGATGATGGTTTACATTTTATCAATAAAAAATGTAGCCAAGCAATCCCCCAAGTGGACATCAGCAAAGTTACTACCCTCTGTTGTTTATTGAAGTCTTTGTTATTTGAGAAAGACGGAGCATATTTGACAATGGTATGAAGGGTTTTCTTGGTGCTATAAGAGCTTGGGAGATGGGATTACTAAAAAGTTGATTTGCAAATAAGTAACTCTAAATTTTCTGTAACATGATATTATGATTTTCAAGTTAATTTTCTAGGACACTAACAACTATGAATAGATCCATAGAATCCCGAAGTTGGAGGGATGTTAGAGAACCTCTCAGTATTCTTCTGCTCAATGTTTAAATTCCCTTAGAGTCAAAGATATATTCCCAATAATTGTTTGTGTAGCAGCTGCTTAAGCACCGTCATGCAGGGAGAAACAAAGTTGTAATAGTCCAGTGAACCTTGAATTTTTTTTCTACATATTCCTTGACATTCATTTTCTCATCAAAGTATTCAAATATGTGCTACTAAAAAGCACCCTATAAACCATTGAGTGAAGTATAAGAAGCATACACTGAGCACTTTTTAAAATAAATGAGCCTAAACAAAAGAAAACAGTCCTTAGAGTTTGCAATTTAGAATTCTTTCATGTTAACTTGGAAGCTATTAAAATTCTCTCTCTGTTCTTTCAGGAACAAGCAAAACTGAACACTCTACTATGTCAGACTTTTATATTCTGCTATTTATGGTCTTTGGGTGGAAATCTAAATGAAGTCCACTGGGATGCTTTTGACACATTTATTAGGACACAATTTGATGATAATCCTGATGCCAGGGTAAGAGCCAAATAAACTTAATTTTAACATAATTACTTTAAACCATTAAAATTAAATTTCAAGACTAAAACTTTAAAAGACTTATTCTCTATTATAAGGGCTTCTAAAATTATCCACTTTTTTAAACCAGAAATAACATTTATTGTATTAAAATTTTTAGGAGTCTTCTCCTAGCCATATGAAGAAAGTAAGATGTAAAAGTATATAAAAGCTCACTACTATCAATTAACATTGCATTCTAATCTCTTAAATTTATTTTTCACAAGGTAATGGTTTAGCAACCCTGAAACTATTTCTGTACATTAAAATATTGTACAGATGAATAAATACATTGACATAATGGCAACCAGGTTTCTCATTGTTAAAGGGAAAGAAGGTATGGAATGAGAAAGATTAGAATGCACCCTGTTGTTAGGTTCAAATTGGAAATTATTTAGTGCATGTATAGGGCCTCATGAAATTATTTAGTGTGTGTAGGTTTTAGATATTTACAAATACGTATATGTATATATATACACACACATATATGTATATATAGATAGATATATATACATATTTGTGAGTGTGTGTGTTTTCATACATACAAAAATCTCCTAGTTTTAAGCTGAGAGGAACTGGGAGCAATGACAACTCAATAGCAGTGAACAAACTTAGTGTGTTTATTGCTAACTACCTGTCTCTCAAAAGAGAACTAAGACTCTTTAATGAGATTGCTGATTTGAAAACTGCGGCAGGGACAGTACGAAATTAGCCTAGAACATATCTTTCCATATCAGATAGCAAAAAAATGCTCAAAGAATGATGGCACATACCTAAAGAACACAGGAGCCAGTTTGAAGATATTCCCACTGGCCCATCTGGGCAAATTTGAACATTAAAAGAAATGGTAATAGGGGATAGCAAGACTTTGAATAAAATAAAAATGTTATTTCTCTTTTTAAGAGCCCCTTGTGTGGATTGCAAGGTCACTGAAGGCAGAGGCTGGATCTCATTCAGCCCTTCCCCTCAATGCCAAGCACAGTATTTGGCATGAAGTAATTCCCTGAATTGGAGCTAAATTGAAATTGCTTTACAATTTTAATGTGGGGTTTTACAATAATCAACATAACATTTTTTCCATACATCATGTTGCAGGACTGTATTTAAAAATTAGGTTCTGATACCTGAACAACTACTTCTCCACAAAGAAATCTAAATTCATTCACATTCTCTGACTGCCTTTGTTTCTGTGCAGAATATTTGTGTCAATCCTATTGAAAGTGGTGTTTCATTTTATATTTTAGCTTCCCAGTTCTGGTGACCTATGGAGCATTCACATGGACTTTGACACCAGACGAATGGATCCCTGGGAACGAATCATACCCACCTTCAAGTACAGCCAAGACATTCCATTTTTTAAAATGCTTGTCCCCACAGTTGACACAGTGCGCTTTGGGTATCTAATGGAAAAACTACTGGCTGTCAGACATTCAGTGTTGTTTACTGGAACAACTGGAGTTGGCAAGGTAGGAAACATCAAACAAGAAAGTCTGCGTGAAAATGAGGATATGGTGGACTTCAAATTGTTAACCCCATAAATAACACCTTATTTCTCAAGGGAAATTCTTTTGAATTTTAGTCATTTTTTTCAGGAGTAATCTAACTATTATGAACTAGTATCAACCTTGGGAATTACTCCAAAGTTAGCCA